GATTAAGAAAAAAGCCATGAGCTCTACAATTATGAAAACCCTCCATATTCGTAAACCAACTTCTCTCCCCGTCTCTTCCACTACCGCCGATGAGCCATGTGTTCTCCGGCGTCGTCTCTCCTTTCTGTCTCTGATACTCTCCCATAACAAACCTTCCACCGCCATGGGAGACCAAGGAAGTAGCTCCGTGAAAGAATGGTGGGAATGGAGTTGGTCTTTGATTCTCTTGAAGAAATTACCAATCTTCATCACTGATCTTGAGTTTAACAAGGAAGAAACCAAATCATCATCATTCCAACAGAGAGGCAGTTTCATTCACGTCTTCTTCAAGCTCCGATCTGAGATCAGCCGTCTTCTCCGACGTCCTTCCTCCGACTCTCTTCCTCTCTCATGCAAACACGGACAGCGATTACGTGGCAGTCTTGCTCGTTGAAAGGATTTTGTGTGTGTGGCTCTACTTTTATTTGTACGAAAATAATTCTTTCATTATTTCTAAACTAAACTGTATAATGTGCTTCAAATTATATTTGTTATAATTCCTAGATTCCATGCTCTCTTTTTTTTTTGTAAAGTGTAATTATTTCATTTCTTGTGGCCAAAAAGTTTTATTCCATTTAAATTAGGAATTGAGCATTTTCCATTGTATTGATGCAATTAGATTTAAAAACTGTTAATTCTTTATATACTAGAGTCATTGCGCGAATTTGGTTTGTTTTGATTTTCTTGTGCTATTTTCCTATATTTTATACCTATATAATGTATAGCGTGTATTGGTAAGTATTTATGTTAATATATAAGTATCTTTTTTACATAAACACATTCTAATATTTATTTAAAATCTTATATCATATGGTTAATATAAGATTTTAAATAAATATTTTTTAGGTTTTGAAAACTTATTATTATATTCTTTTATTTCAATATAGCTCCATCCAAATCTTCAAACATATTCTAAATATAATCGTGCAACGCATAGATCAATATATTTACTTTTATCATTTTTTTCGTAAGACATTAATATATAGAAAGTTAATTTATATATAATTTTTTTTTACGTTTTGTTAAACACTTTAAAATTATATTTTCTAGATTTTTGGGTTAAAAGCATTGGTTGAGATATTAAATTATTAAATATGTATTTTTTTTATTGTGGTGTAGAACTACGTACATTTTTACATAAAGATCATATATCATTGTCCATATATTTTGTTGTAAAATTTATGAATAATGTCACCATTAATTTTTTACTTTATATGTATCAAAACTTAAGATTTCTTATAGAGACAATTGCAAAAATGCCACTTTTGGTGTGCCACTAATACAACATAGTTAATCCAAACATAAATGTTATAATGAGTAAATAATTTTGAAAAAGTGGTATTTTTGCAATGATTTTGAAAAAGTGGCATTTTTGAAAAGTATCATTTCTCAAAATTTATCTTTTTATATTTATTTTAAATTGTGGTATTACAACGTTTTCAATATTTTTCTTTTATGCTACTTTTAATCATTCATTTACTTATTTTTAGTAGAATATAACTTGCGCGATGTGCGATTTTTTTTACACCAATTTATACCTCTTATATCTTTTAAATATATAACACTTTAAATTTTTCTTTCATACTTCCAAAATATTCAAATATGACATTATAAACAAAATCATATATTCCAAATATTCATCTTATTATCTCATCTTTAATAATATATATTCTTTCTCTTTAGATCAACATCTCTTAACAATCGTTTGATATTCATATAATTTATTAATTTTTTTCTTTGATGTCGTTGATATTTTTATTCATTTGTTCTTATGTGTATATTCATTTTACATATTTTTAATTTTTGAAATTGAATATATAAAATTTTATCGTTATCATAAGCTCATAAGAAAATATATTTATTGTTGTAATTTTATATTTACAACAATAAAATATTCAAATAATTTTATATGTTTAACTTAAAAAAAAAAATTATATGTACTACT